GCCCCTACGAATACCGCACTGCGGTACAGCAGCACCAGCAACGCAACAGGTGTACGGCATGACAAAACCACCACGCGAGTGACCGCTGACTTACGATCCACGGACCACCCACTAGGGCGCCGCACCCATCGGCTTTCGCGTGCCAGTTCCTGCGCCAGTCCTAGTCAGTGCTGGTGCCCGCCCGGGGTGTCTGGATCTATCCCTGAAGCATCTCGGGGGGCATCTGTCATGCAGCATGGGTCTCCCCGCGAATGGTGGATAGATGATCGACCCAATCTGATACATACTGTCGCCTCTCTCTCGGCTGGCTTCTCTTCTTCCCTCCCTTCTCCCTCTTCTCCCTCTACTGCCAATACCTCCGCCACTTGTTTAGTGTTCACCACTTTTTCCATTCTTCACATACCAAGGCCGGCCTTATTCCTTTCGATTCTTCTAGACCCCTTTGCTGGCAATTGTCTATTTCGTCTTTGTATCTTTTTTACTATCCGTGTTTTCATCTCGCACTCGACTCGACGTCTCATTCGCAACGATACTTCTTCACCGCACCGTCTCGAACCATTATCCAACTTTTATCGCCGAATATCAACACCGAATTTCGTAAGCTGAGGGCCATGGTCGGAACCGATTGACAAAAGGGAACATTTCGGCGACTTTCTTCGGTCCGGATAGGAAGGATAGGATGATCGAGGAGAAGGGCATGGCTCCCCACGCAGTCCAGCAGGGCTCGAAGCCTTCCCGGAGAGCCGCCCGCCCCGCCAACATCAAGATACCCTCTCTGTTTACGGAACGCGACGAGGAATCCGACGATGAGTACGCAACGCAAGTACGACGGGCTGCAGGTGGTATTTGGAAGAGGGCAGTTGGCCCTGGGCACGAATTCGCCGACAGGGTAGAGGCACGATCAGACAGCGACAGCGATAATCCGAAGAGGAAACAGAAACTCAAGAACCCTCCTCCCCAACAACAACAGGAGCAACCGTCAAGCCCGGACACACCAAAGGCGAGTCTCAGGCCATCGAATAACCTTCAGAACGGCACGCCACTGCCCGTGGCAACTCTCCGGCCCGCACCGGCAGTATCAGCCCGTCCAGTGGCTTCATTTCCTCCGGCCATTCAGTTGCCCCAGGTATCAGCGCCTCCATTGCGAGTATCAGCGCCCCCCAAGGCTACACCTTCATCTCTGCCGCCTGCGTCCACGGTACCCAACCCTCCTCCCCGAGCGGCTCCAGCGGCATCAGTCCCTCCCGCCTTCGAAACTCCAGCAGCTCACCCTGAAATTCCTGTACAGCGTCCCCCCGAGCCTGAAGAGCCTCCACCACCACCACCACAATCACCACTACCTCCGCCTGTTTTGGCACCAGCAGAGCCCGACCCGCCGCCACCACCGCCTCCTGAGGAGCCTCAGCCAGGACCGCCCCCAGCGACGATGACAGTCACGGCCCCAGCACGTACTGTCACGTTGATCTCGACCATGATGCCATCCATGGATCCTGTGAGTGGTTCACTCCAGCATTCAGATGTGAGAACACGACTGACCGTGACAGCCTACGCCCAAGAAGCCAAAGTACCCCACGCCTTCAGCCCCAACACCCTCTGCTCCGCCCCCGACTACTGGTCTGCCGCCTCTGCCATCCCTCGAACCGTCTGCGCCTAGGAAGGGTATTGATGGACACACAACGCCTACAGTTACTGCGACATTGGCATCAGCAGTAATTCCGGCGGAGACCATCTCAGCTCTTCCTGGGCAGACTGGAAGCCGGGATAAGGACGACGGCAGACCGCCACGTATGAACCCGGAAACCGAGCATGCTTTGATCGCGGTCGGTTCTATCGGTATGTACTTTGTTGCCAAATCATGCCGTTGGGTGCTAACTTGCGTAGGGTCTTTCATTTTTGCGAGTTTCCTCTGCTGGATTGTGTGGAGGACATTGAAGAGGGCAGCACGACGGAAGAGGGACAGAGAATCTGCCTACCGTGGCGACACCCCCGGTTTCGGATCCAAGATTCCGTTCTTCAGGAATCGTTCAGTGGGTGGCGGATGGGAAAACCTGGACGGCCGAAGCCAGCCGCCTCAGTACGAGAAGGGAGTTGGGCCCAGAGGAACCCTGCGATTGAACACGGACGTCTACTCTGGAAAGCCGATCGGCAACTTTGGCCCCGGCTCAGCGTCTGCATACGGTGGCCAGTATATGTCACCGGCCGACAACAGGGGCAGCCCGATGACCATGAGCCCGTCAGGCACGATTCAGATGCGGGCCAACCAACCCATTATGAACGGACAAGGCACCTTTAACAGCCAAACGGGCACCTACACCAGCCAGGTCGACACTTTCAACACCGGCGTTGGCACATACAACACACAAACGGGCACGCTCATCAGTCACGCGCCCAGCCAGTCCTTGACACACATCATTGGACAATACGGCACCCCTACCGATCCTAACATGACCCTTCGCTCGGGTATGGGAGCTGGAGCCTTCTTCAATCAATCAGAGTTGGCTCGTCAACCATCAGACGCTTATGATCCCAACAGACGACAAGTCAACCGGGCGAGTGAGCTGTCTTCGATTTCGTCCGGTTTTGGTGACGGGGATATTGTGGTACCTGGCATGGCACTGCAACCACCACCCCCAATCAGGCAGAGTCAAGCCGGTCGGTTCTCGTGGATGAGTAAGAGCAACCGTGACACTGTGTATACCGAGACGAGCGAAGACTTGCCACCAAGATTCCGATCTGTCAATAGCTGGGTCAACCAGCAAACAGGTCGCATCAAGAGAGCGCAGGCACGACCAGAAACCGACGAAGACGTTCCTCCCGTACCCGGACTTCCGGCCGGGACGGGACAGAACGGCCTGCCCCCCGAACCTCAATTTACCATGATGATGCCTGACGGAGAAGTACCCCGACGGCCCGATCTGAATTCCAACGCGTCGTAGCCAGACGTGACACAGGACCAACAGTCACTTTTCTTTGTTTTCATACCCAAGCACGGCGCAGCGCGGCAGGATGTCAAAATGAGAAGGCAAGCGAGGGGGTGTTGTAATAACATTTATCATCATCATCGTATCACACATGAACAGGCCACCGAAAGAGGCGGTAGTATAAAATACAACATGAACTGTATTCAAAAGACTCGCTGCACCGCCTCCTCTTCAAGCCTGGCGCTTGGGGGGCCTTGCGGAGTTTGACATACGACAACCCGTGGCTTTCAGCTGCACATGTACAGATAGTCGGGAGCAGGCGAGGAGCAGAAGAGATGCACACGGAGAGGAGCGGTGAGAGTAATCCAAAAAGTATAACAATGTTAACAATACTTGATCATGATTGGCCTAGCGTTGTTCACTCCAAGTGCGAATATCGTTGATGGGTCGAAGGCGCAGACAATTCCGTTCGCGGCCTGCGATCGTCAGGCACCTGCGATGCTGATTTGTTGGGCGATCAGGTCGACGAACGACTTTGTTTGTTTCTTTTTATGGAAACACTGATTCTTTCAACGTCGTAATTGAACAAGCAGCCAAGAATGGCCAGGCCTGAGGATGATGAAGCTTCTTCGCCATCGTGGCCGGGCTTCTGCACCGGCAGATATTTGCTCTACGTGTGAGATGGCTTTTCGGCCTCATTTACAATGCTCAGTCTTCAGCCACGATTATTTACCAGGCCTCAAATCCATCAATTTGCACTGCTGCAGACTTCACGCCGCATTGTCAGTGCTTAAACCAGAAAGAAAGCCACAGGGTAAGCAGTCGGATCAAGCTTGATTCCTTCTAATCAATACTCAAAATGTGCAAAGGCGCCAATGACGCGGCGACGACCGCCAAGGCGGATTCCGCTCAGCCCATGATCCTCTAAATTGCAGCAGCTTACGCATCACCAAGTACACAGCCCACCGCCGCTCATCATTCACACCCGCGGGCCGCCGCCCTTTCAGCTAAGCTCATCCGCGGAATATAGAGACATGCACTGGAAGAGTACGGAACCGATGGACGGCCATTGGCCACGCGTTTCGGGAACGATGGTTCCTTCGCAGTTCCAAAACAGTTTATGGGTACTCGGGCCTTCTGGCTTCCATTCTTTACGTTCCCACTCGACTGCACAGCCGCACAGCACGAATTGCAGTGCTGTTCCCGCTGCCCGGCGAGCGGACGAATCAGAGGCCGAAGGACTCTGAGCAAGGGAATTTTTCCACGGGGGATTGGGCAGCGCCAGCGAGGTACGAAGCGGGTAGAAGGGGCACCTGGACGGCTGTGGCGGAGCCGGAGAATATGTGGGGTCACCACTGAGGCTTGCAGCTGGGTGCTGGGTGCTAGGTGTAAAGACACTGGAGTGCTGGACGGGCAAGGGCGGGGCATGTTGACGTACGTAACACAGCATGCACTGCACGCCGCTTTACTTGCTACGACTTGCTTGCTGAATGAGGGGCGCTGTGCGCATGCTCTACCTTACTACCTAGGCAAGGTTGAACCGCCAATCCTGCAGACGCTCTCTTTTCTAATCAACACTAACCAGGCTTCAACCTTTCTCTCGACGGCGGGACCCTGTCTTGCGTATATACTCTTCGGCCTCTCTCTTTTTACTCACTTTTCCCAAGCATCTCGTCTGATAGCCATTCCATCAGCTCGTTCCTACAGCTTGCCGCGATCCTTCCGGAAGGTTGCGCTCCCTCTGCCTCGATTCACGTGGGCGGGCGCTTAGCTTCGTTTCCTTGACCGGTGTTTCTCTGGGCGGTGACAGTGTCTTTGATTCATCATATAGCCAAGGCGGACGGGTGACGGGACAAGGACTGAGACTCAGCCCACTTGACCTCGCACACCCTACCCTCGCCGCCCTAGTCAACGGCAGCCTGATCCGAGGCCTGGCCTTCTCTTTATCTAGCCAACCCACCCTTCTCGAACGTCAAACCCACGGGAAAGAAGCTTTCCTTTTTGGCGAGCGTTACAAATCCAGCATCGAGCCAACCTGTTTTGATTTTTCGCGAGCCGCCGGCTGTCAATCCCGCAACCATGCTCGACGAAAACCTCCCGACCTTCCACTTTCGCCCCTCCTCGGACAACCCCTCCAACACAGTCCTCTACTTCACCCACCAGGGATCTGAACTCACGCCGCACTACCTGCTCAAGCGCGCCGACCCTGCAAATCCCGTTGCTCGCAACAAGTACGCCTCTGCCCTTACCGACATCGCCTCCCAGCAGATCATCTACGCCGAGGTCCTCGTCGAGCCGGAATGGACACAACCAACACTCTCCACGGCGGAGGTCCGCGCCCAGGGCGGCCAGCCCGCACCGCCGCAGCCCATCCTCCCAGACCAGGTCACTCTACAGCTGTATAACCCGGACTCGCAGGTGGTTATCAAGACGAAGGCCGGCAGTTGGGGCAAGAGCGACAGCTGGGAGTTTGAGATGCCCGAGCAAACATTCCGCGAGCCCAGCGCGAGCATGATCGACCGCTCCTCCGACGACCCTCCCGTCAGCGACACCGTGCCCAAGGTCGTCTTCCGCTGGAAGCGCGACGGAAGGTTAAGCAGGGACATGACATGCTACATGGTTGGCAAGAGCGTGGCCGGCAAGAAGAGCAAGGAGCCGGACATCACCGTCGCCATGTACAAGGACAAGAAGAACGAGAGCGCCGTGACAATCTACGAGCCCAACCTCCAGCGGGTAGACGTCGAGGACCGCAAGGGCCTGGACATCGTCCTCCTGCTCGGCGCCGAGGTCCTGCGCGACCTCTTCCTCAACCCCAGGCAAAACGTCTTCAACCTCACCGCAGTCCCGCCTCCAATCTCAGGCCGCAGAAAGAACTCCAAACCCCCGCCACCGCAGCCGGCCCCTATGGCCCCCGTGGCCTCCATGTCCGGCGCGATCGGCAACAAGCCCGCCTCGCCGCCGGCAGCACAACCCATGAATAACGGGCCCCCGCGTGCAAACGCCCGCCAGCAGTGGGAGATTGATAACGAGACGAAGCGCCTGCAGGCCATGGTGGCCGAGGAGCAGCGCCAGGCCCGCGAGCGCGAGCGCCGAGACGCCGAAGAAGCGAAGCGCATCACCAAGATGCTCGAGAAAGAGGACAAGGAGCGCCGGCGGAAGGAGGCCGAGATCGAGAGGGAGACGGAGCGGCTGAGGAGACTGTACGGCGTCCCGCCCGCCGCGCCGGGCCCAGGTCCAGGCCTGCCGCCGCGGCACCAGCCTCCTCCGGGAAGCTCCGGGGGCTCGTGGCACGTAGCGCCCGCGCAGCCGCCGAGGCCGTCCAGCGCGGGGCCGTATAACCAGGGTCAGCCGGGGACGAGCGCTTACCGGCCTCCGCAGGTGCACTTTGCGCCGACACCGACAATGTCGTCGGCGGCGCCGCCCCAACAACAGCAGCAGCAGGCACCACCGCAGCAGCAGCAGGGCGGCCGGGGTAAGCTACCGAACCTGGTTTCGGGACTGCTCCAGGGCCCGTACGGGAACACGGCTGCCAGCGTCAGCAACTTCTTTCATAGGGACCGCGCCGAGGAGGAGAGGAAGTCGAAGATTGCCAAAAAGCGGAGTGTGCATTTCTAAAGCGTGATGGCACGTGGGGGGAAAGCATAGGGCATTTCATGTGTGTATGTAAGGCGTTCGAAGGGGGTCTCATTGTCACGCGTAGGCATTTTTGGTTTCTTTGGAGGGATATACCATGGGTTTAGCTGGATGCATAGAGTTACGAATTCATGATGAGCATTTCAACTAGTCGAGTGTCGTGCCGTTGAGTGCTAACGAGTTGGATGACATATTCTGCTGGACTGCCGGTTCAGACAGATTGGTATGGAACGTCTACTTGTCGAGGTAGCTGGCCAGTGAAGAAAGACCGGCATAGGACGATGAACCCGCTACATCGGCCTAGGGGACAGCTCAGTTCTTCTACTTAAGTGAGGTCCATCATGCCCCTACACCACCTCTTACTCGAGCAAAATAGTGCCGCCCTGAGTTTCGCTACCCTGGTCTTGACATATGATCACGCCTGCCTCTATAATGTAGTCGAGGGGTCCGAAGGAAATCAGAGAGACTAATATAGCATCCATCAAATGTATTGGATTTGTATCCCATGCGAATACTTCGATGTTGCTGGAGATGGTGGACGAGAAAGTCTTCAAGGCGAGCCTCGTTGCTTCGATAAGGGAACTAGATCATGGACAAATTGCAATGAGTGGCACCGATAGGTAAAACATATTTTCACAGCGTGGATTGTCGCCCCATTCTCCTGTGGCTGGGCTGGTGGTATCAGAAGACATTTATACGCCGACCATCTAATCATATGCCATCGCGGCTGCCACGTTCTCACGCCCATGAGCTCGACATCAGCGCGTCTATAAAAGATGACGCGGCAGATACCAGACAACGTTCTTCAATGTTTTCTGCGGATAGAACTCTGAGAAAGTCTCACGTCTCAACTATGAACTCCTCCATGGCATGCAGCGGTCGTGATGTCAGCGAGATGGGTATGACCAGCTAGGTTTATTCCTTGGTATTACTCTTAGGATGCCGGAGATGAGCCAGAAAGCCGTTCTTTGCCCTATTTTGAGAAAAAACGTCTTATGGCTATGGGTTTGGGTCAAACGCTGTGAAGAGACCTCAAAACCGTGGTCAACTACGAGTTCAACTAAGCACGGGCGAGACGAATTACTCTTCGTTGGCATTCTTCGAGAACAGTTTGATCATAAGACATTTAAGCATCAAGGACTGGTATCCTCGAACGTCATTAATAGAGAGCGGACCGTCCACTTGCTGGGAAGCCTGCGCAGGTCCCCAGTGGCTACCATCGACCGCTTATATAGGGCCGCTCACCTGTCTACCTTGACTTACATCAGCCAAATGATGGTCTCGCAGTGAGGAATCAGATTGCTTGAGTACTCGTCAAATGTTGACACTTTATTCAATAAGTGTTCTTTCTGCCCACTAAAATGAGTTGACTGTTAACCATGACTTTGACGTGATGAATACGAGGGAGATAAGGGAAGAAAGTGATGGACCACACCAGAGAAGGCACCTGGACAAAGGTGGTCTGTGCTCACCAAAAACCAACGTCATACCCGGCGAAACCTTCTTCCTATGTACAGCGCACGGACCATCACAATCACGCTAGCTACCAAAAATTCTCATGATGGGTCCAACCAATGCTATCTCTGGCAGCTTTGATGAACCTCTACTTGGCCAACTTCAAGCTCACCCACCCAACGACACCGACCTCGTCCGCTCCCTCGACGACTACTTCCTCGCCAACGAATTCGACTGCGACACCCAGCGTCTGCTCTCGATCCTCAGTTGGAAAAAGGCTCTCCGCCAAGGTCACCACCAGCAAGCGAACCTAGGACGACTCCAGAAGCTCGGTCTCCTCGCTTCCTACCCCGTCGGCTTCGACTTTCGTCTCCATACGCCCCCGGGACACATCCGCGATCGAAACCTCGAGATCCTCGCGGCCGACTCTAGCGCACCCAATCTTTCGTCGCAGAAACACACAGCAACCGCCAAAATGGTCCAACTCACCGAGGTCGAGGACGAGCACTTCCAGGGCGCCCAGGCCGGGCCCATCGAGGACGATGCCGACTTCACTGACACCGGTACGTTTTGCGCCGTTTTTGGAGGCTGACTTGGCGGGACATTTTTTTCCCCCTCGAGTCGGCCTGCCCACTACGTCACAATCCTACTAACCCACCCCGCCAGACTCCGAAATCTCCGCCGACAGCGACTTCGACCCTACCGACGAAAGCCTCGCTGAGCGCCTGTATGCTCTCAAGGACATGATCCCCCCGACCACCCGCGGCTGGGTCCAGAGCAAGGTCAACTTCGGAGTCAGCGCCGTCCAGAACACGTGGTACTACGGCTCCCGCACCGTCTGGGTCGTCTGCGCCACCGCCCTCATGATCGGTGTGCCTCTGGCCACCTGCTGGGCCGAGGACCAGCAGATCGAGGGCATGGAGCGCGAGTTCCGCATGCGCGAGGCTGGCGGCGAGCTCTTGACCGCCGGCGGCGACGGCAAGGACGGCGAGCAAAGCACCGCTGACATGCTTGGTGCCCACCTCGACCGCGCTGAGGCCAAGCCTGCGCTGTAAAAAACCAGAAAACCAACGATAAAAAAAAAGGAAGGGACGCTGTTACGAATACCTTACGGGAAGGAAAAGAGAATTTCCCGGGCCTGATGCTTCTACACAGAAGGGTCTGGCTGGCTGGGGAAAACGAGAGGAACGACTGCGCTACGCCGGGATCTGTACGATTACCACCCGCTCCTACTCGGACACGAACTCGCGGGTTTTCATTTTTAATCTCTGCGCCTGTCGAACAACACAAACACTGTACATCAGACACCGAAAACTCTCTCACACCAACAACACACACTCTCAACACCTAACGGAACTTTTGCATGCATTGCGGTCATGGATGGGGTGGCAGGAAGGGGTTTTTCCCTGCCCTTTTGCTTGTACTATAGGACGTTCATGAAGGGCCACGAGTCGGGGAAAAGGCCGATTGCAATCATGACCAATTCTAATACCCACATGGTTCCCTGATGATGTGACGTGGATAACAAATCGAGACACACAGAGTCAGCCGCCGGTGATGACTGTGTAAGTAGGGATTTTCCATGCCACATTCGTCTATAAATTTCCTACTTTTGGGTTGCGGTCAGCGAGCCGGCCGGCACGATTAAATTTTGATTTTCAACTGTTCACTTTTACGTGCCCGAATGGTAACACAGAGTTTTTGGCAACCTCTGACCAAAGTCCTGAGCAAGTCCTGAGCAGTAAAAAGCCGCGACAGTCAAGCGGTACCAGGAGTAAACACCACAATACGCCGCAGACGGAGAAGGACAGCGAGGGAATGGGCGCATTGGGCGCCTGTGGCTGACTTTGTGGACCCTGTCGAACACTTCACAGTCTTTGGCCGCGCGTGAGTGTTGCAGAATAACGGAGGCGGAACTTGAATATACCATTCCGCCATATTCCATGCCTCACTTGGATTGCCGAGACCAAATCTTGGGCTGTGAGATCAACTTTTATAACCACGCCAGGCGAGCATTGGGCCTGTTACCCAAGCGGCGGGCATCAAGGTGCCAGCTTGGTGTTTGTATTGTAGAGGAAAGTTCTGACTGTATATAATCACCATCCCGCTGTCTTGAAACTCATCTGGCAAGGCGACCATTTGAAGCTTGGCCAACTGATTTCACTGGTATTTCACCACTCCCAAGTCCTTCATCGAGTCACGCGGTAACTAGAGATCGAAACCACATCAGGAACTGCAATCTTCCACGTGAGGCATTAGTCGCCGAAGGATACGTCAGTTATACTTGGACAACGAGGCAAACCACCGCCGACCAGCAGATACGATTCGCTGTCTCGCGACTTTCCTGTTGCGCAAGATTTTTTTTGCCCTACCTCCGTCTCTTTGCGGACTAAGACAAGGCCACGATCTGGAACCAACCAAATTCGTTGTTGTTCAGAAGAAAAGTTGAAAACTTCACTGCCTCGATGTATTTATATGGAATATTGCGGCCGTCACGACTTCAAGAGATCTGGATACGAGACCTCTTTGGCCCACCATTCTCTCTCTACGAACACTTGCCAAATATGCAAGTGTTGACAACACAAATATCGTGCTCAAATTGTACTCTTATCAAGACTCATTCAACAAGGTGTCACCAACGGCATTGACTCAAGACTCGACGAAGCACAGACAACCCCCAGGACCCCGGTCCGCCTACCTACCCTTTTCCGAACATCCCATGCAAACCCTCCGGGATCGGCCCCATCGGCCCGCTCCGTGACTCTTTCGCCTCGGAACCACCGTGATCCACAATCTTCAACCTCTCCGGATCCCAAGCAAGAAAAAGGCCTCAAAAACCTCACACCGCACGACACACGCCGCTCCTTTTCATATAACAGGTGGAAAAACAGAACCGTCAGCGGCGTCGCCTGGTTCTGATCTAGTAGCCGGTGCTCAGACTCTTATCGGACAGCAGGGTTGTGTGTGACCAGTGGGGCATAGTCAGAAGTCGCACAGACAATCTTCTACACCGGAGGCGCTCGCTGCGTTGCGGATAAGTCGCGCGCTTCTACGACGACGCGCCGTGAACGCAAACATGCCGAGCTCCAAGACTGCAGCAGATATGGACTTTAAAGCACTTCCCAAGATCGAGGTAGTGACATCAAGCTTACCCTGCCCCGCTCATCTTGGCGATGTGGACTAACACGTACTTACCCAGCTCCATGCCCATCTGACGGGCAGTGTAAGCCGTCGCACGCTCCACGAGATATGGGCCGTGAAGAAGGCGGCGGGGGAAACCGATCTGGAAGACCCCCTCGTCGTCATGCCGGAGGATAAACACGACTATAATCTGACAACGTAACTTACCCACCGGGTCCTCCGTCGATGAGCCTCACTGACTGTGTACCTAGGTTCTTCCCTCTCTTCTCATCATACATCTACAACCTCATCACAACCCCAGAAACTCTCCGCACGGCAACCCTCTCTGTATTGAAGGACTTCCACGCAGACGGCGTGACGTACCTAGAGCTGCGGACCACGCCCCGCTCCCTCCCGTCCCCAACGCCGCAGCCGCCGTCAGTCTACGTCTCCACGATCCTCTCAGCGATAGCCGAGTTCGAGTCGGCGCACCCCGGCCCGCAGACCATGCGCACGCGTCTGATCCTCTCCGTCGACAGACGACACACGCCCGCGCAGGCGGACGAGACGGTGCGTCTCGCGGCGCAGTTTCGCGACCAGGGCGTCGTCGGGGTGGACCTCTGCGGCGACCCCGCGGCGCGGTGCCACGGCGTGGACGGGCAGGACAACATCTCCATCTTCCGCGGTGCCTTCGCGGAGGCCAAGCGGCTGGGCCTGGGGCTCACGATCCACTTCGGCGAGGCGGAGTGCTCCGGACACCCCGACGAGCTGGCGGAGATCCTGTCGTGGGAGCCCGGAAGGTTGGGGCATGTTATACACCTCGGGGAGGACGTGAAGAAGGAAATCACGGCGAAGAAGATTGGGTTGGAGCTGTGCCTTAGCTGTAACGTCCACGCCGGGATGGTCACGGGCGGCTTTGAGGGGCACCATTTCGGGGAGTGGTGGGGTGTCGAGGGGAGCGTGATTTCGCTGGGCGTAAGTTTCTGCTGCTGTTCTTTTACCCTGGTTGCGGGCTCGCAAAGACGGGGCTCGTGTGTGCGGATGAAAAGAAATGTTTTTGCTAACGTGGTAAACAGACAGACGATGTGGGTGTTTTTGGCAGCCCGTTATCGAACGAGTACAGGCTGGTGGCTGAGCATTTCAACCTGTCTCGAGATGAGGTTTGCGCACTCGCCCGACGGGGCATTGGCTCCATCTTTGGCGGAGACGCTGAGAAGCAGCGCCTTCAAGACGTCATGTGGTGAACGATTGATGACGAAAGCATGCCTATACAATTGTCAAATAGAAGATAAGGTCAAGGTCAAAGTCGGCTTCCTCCGGCGGTTGATCTGCACATACAAACTACCACTTCGGCCACGTAACTTCAACGTGGAGGCTTTTGAGTTATCGTTTGGACCCCTCGTTCCCGGGAAAATAGCGGGAACGTCGAACACTCCGGTCCCGAGTCCGGCGGGGAGACTTTACGGCCCCACGCGAGCGGGGTCGGGGCTTCGGCCGTGTCCCATATCGGGGGTTCCCTCTAAACTGGCTTATACGTACTTAGAACCGTCTCGTCTTTGGAGAGATTAGATTCGGCGCTGCTCAGGCAGAAAGCTCGTGACGTCGAAGTAACAAGAAAAGTCAACGAGCGAAGATCCCAAACATCTGTCGAAGGAGGAGGTGACGGGCAAAGTAGCAAATGACTGGCGATTGAATTTCTCCGCTGCTTTTGGAGGCTAGCTGACAGTGATCAAGTGATCAACACAAACAGACATTGTATGTATCTGGCCCAGTCGTTGCAATGGATCAATGGCGCGTTGCTTTGAGATGATGTGCCGATTAGCCGTCTTGCGTGTACGGTTGTGCGAGTTCAGCCGAGGATTTTGGATTGATTTCAAAGATATCCTCGTGCAGATGTCTGCCTCTGTCAAAGTGCACCACGACTGGAGGCTAACTGAATGGCTTTCGAGGGTATATCGCTGCAAGTCAAAGCGAGATCGTATCGCCGAATCGGGCAAGTCACTAAAAATAAACAAGGACATCCGATCCTCTGATGCCGAGAGGTTGACTTTTCCTAGGAGCATTATTGTGATATTGACATGCTTCTCCGGTCTCGAGGTCGCGGACGCTGGCTGTGATATGGCACGTATGCAGGAAACATGGGCGGCTTTTCCGGATACAACATCCACATTGGGGACAGTCGCCACCCTTTCTGCAGAAGGGTTGCAGAGGGTTTGGGCTAGTTAGCATATCCCAAAAACTCTGGTTGGGAGATCTGGTTGATGGCGAACGGTAGATGGTTCCCGCTAAGTTGGATCAAGCGTTTGCCCAACAGACAAGGACGTGCCAAGCTGCCAGGAGGGTCCCTCGCCCTGTACTCTTGCTGCAGACGTGCCCCAGACCTTGACTGATCTGGCGGTAGGGCTAAGAAACGGGCAGGTGTCTCGCCTGCTGCAGCCTTGAGGCTTCGTGTGTGCTCCCTTGGCGGGAGTGTGTATCGTCTTAATACTGCCTCGGCCCTGTGAAAGAGGGGTTGGTCGAGGCATAGCAACATGGCAACGGGCTGGCGCGTTGATTTGGCGCAAGCCGCGGACGTCCTGCAGGGAACATTAAGTGTGCCAACATTATCTTAGTGGTAATGGGGTTGTGATGATATTCGTCTCCGTTCCGTCGTTGAGACGACACACGCACCCAAACGAGGTCCGTGATGGTCAATGTGTCTCCCGAGAGGCTACCAAGACCTCGATCCTCAAGGGATGTTCCCATATCAGAATGTGAAACGATAAACATGAGGCGAGCGGTAGTCAAAAGCATCCCGAGTAGTAAAGAGGGGGTTGGGTTGGAGGAAGTGAAGGGGCAATGACGATGGTGAGTGCTATCAATCAATGCAGTAGTTGGTAGACGACATAAACCAAGCAGCGAGCGGATTCACATCCGCAATCCCGAGAGGACAATA